AAATCTTTAGAACAAACAAGTATCTCTATCTTAGCCCCTCACTGGATAATCTGTGATGGTCTAGCAGTGCTACCATTGCAGACTGATTTTGTACCCTACCGGTAAGTAGTCATTCCCTTCCTCTTGTTCAAACATAATCATTAAATCTGTGATGTGCAGAGGAAGAGTCAGTAGAAAATATATGTGTCACTCTACAAGGAGATTTATTAAATAGACTTGCAGGTCACAGGCGGGAGAGTCCACAGTGGTTGTCTGTGTGCAAAATACCCAGAAGATCCAGTAGCTGCTCATCCCAATAGGATAGAGGCCACAGAATAAGAAGGACCAAGAATGAAGCACCTGGCCAAAGTTGAAGGCCTGGAAGCTTACTGAAGAGTTGCTGGTCTGCTTCACAAGGCTGAAGAAACTGGGGACCCACTTCCAAGTGTGATGGCAACAAAGGAATCACTCCAAGATAGGCACTCTTCTGTCCTTTCTTTTTCTCTTTCATGCAGGCTATAAGTCTGTTGGTTGGTGCCACCCACACAAGTTTCGGGTCTTCTGCAACTCAGTTTGCTACATCTGAGTCATTTACAGACAAACCCAGAACTGTGCTTTATTAATCTACTCTGGTCAGGCATATCACAATTGATGGCTACAAGTACTTAATAGAAAAGCAGGTATTATTGATACAGGGAAAAATTGTGTGTTTAGAGTAAAGGAAGTAGCAGAGTGGCATCACCAGAACCCCTATGTTAGTTGTTAAACACAATAGCAGTAACTCTAGTTTCAACCTGGCCTACTCTGTATTGATTGAAAGGTCCTCATACCTATGTTTTACTCTTTCAGGTCAAAAGAAATATCAGGAACTCTTCAAAAGCAGTTGAAGGATCAAAAAAATGTATCTTCTAGGGGCAACGATGCATTCTGCTGAGTGATTTTTTTGAAATGTTTCTTACAGTCGTCTCTGTCAGTGTTTCCTTGAGAATTCCCTTTGATTTTATAAATAACATTATTTTTATGACATGATGTTCTTGTCCTTCAATAAGTCTGCCATGCATTTTGACCATATTATGTAGTCATCTTTCTTCTGTGTTAACATCACCTTCAATGTCACTATTATTACATTCACTTTGATTTAGAACCAGTTGAACACTTTCATAATCATTCAATGAATGAACACCTGGAGTTTCATTAACGTTTATTGCTTGTATATCTATTTTTTCTGTCTTAGTAATGGATTTCTTAAGTACATTTGTTTTCACCTGTAAGGAGATTAGATATCATTTTATTTTTCTCAGTTGACAAAAGGAATCCTTCTAAGTTACCTCATTATTCATCATCAGAGTGGAATACAATCACAGGCCATGAGTTATGCCATATTCAAAACTGTCTTTGGTCATTGTGCCCAACATTTGAAGACAGCTTGTATAGTATTCCTCATGCTAAGCTGATTTTGAAAACATTTCATACCCATACCTCTGTTTAATGACCAGCAGACAATTCATCATCACAAATCAAAACTTTATTGTCATGTCTTCTCTTAAATTTCTGCAAGCATCATGTGGAGTAGTCACAGTTCTCTACATCAGTTCTTTGTGATCTTTGTTTCATAATCGCTGTACTATGAACTGGTGTGTGACCAACCCAATCAGCACACCATTGACACATTCCTTTTTAGTTTCAAGCAGCATTTTCCTATTTTTCATTATCTTCTGTTCATCTCTTTCAGCATAGAACCTCAATAATTTATCCTCAGCATTTCTGATCTCACACAGTGGTCATTTCAATGCCATACACTTCTATAAAAAGTTCACACTTCTACAAGCAGTTTTTCCAATAATTTAACTTTCTATATGATAAACACGAATGCTTCCTCTTTTTCTTTTCATTGTCCACAGTAGCTCCTGCAATATCTTTACCCCAGAGAACAAAGAGTAAGTGAACAAACAAACAAAAACCCAAAACCCACACTAAGTCACACAGATTTAGCTGTACATTAAGCATTTTGGGGATTCTACAGCATGAAATCATGTTGGGGAATCAGGCAAGTCTCCAGCTTGTGTGCATGTCATTTAACTGCCCTATGTGGGGATCCATGTGTGGAATCATATGGTTTCTCCTATAAATGATGTATTAGAGATGGGAAAGATTTTGAAAGTCCTTTTCCTTTGAAGATGCTAAATAAAATATCCATTGTGCACCTCGGTTTCGATTGAACCCATTACGTATGGTCAGGGGTGGAATTTTCTATTATGGCATCAAGTCAGTACTCAAAAAGTCTATGATTTTGAGTCATTTAGGTCTTGGTTTTACACATCCACTCACCTTTCCATATTTTTTGATGCTGTCACGTTCGTTCTGCCCGAAGAAATAACCTCGGCATTTCTCTTGAGTGCTAACCTGAGATTTTTCTTCGGTCAAAGAAAATTTTTGTTTGGATTTTTCTTGAAGGTTATATTACTTCAAAAGTTATACTTATCAAGATTTTTTGTTAATTTTCAATTTTTCATTATTTAGATCATCTCTTAGTTACTGTACCTCTAGGCTTATTATATTTGTTGGAATTATCTCTTTCTTTATTGCTAGCCATAGTTTATTTTTTCTTGCTATATATGGAAATTTTCATAAGATGCTAGAAGTTGTATGCAATACAGCAATACCTGAGTGTTATTACTTTCTACTGGAAAGGTTTTCACCTACTGTTTTGATGATAGACCAAGGAGCTGATAGCTTCAGTACAACTGGCACTGACTCAGGGCAGAAAATACTTTTAGTATGACTCAAATATCTTATGGAATTTCAGTTGAGATTGTAATGCATCTATATTTTAAGCTTTAAAAAGGAGTATAAATTCTGATGCTTATAGTTTCCAACATCAGCTCACTAGCCTATACGCTAAGCACTTTCAAAACCAGGGAAATATTTTAAAGATGAAGAAGTACATGAGCTTGAGGCAAGGCCCCTTAGTGTCTTTGCTTCCTAAATAGAACAGGATTATTGATGTTTCTGAGATTACAAACCTCACCCTGCCTCCCCAGCCTCTCACAGAGGATTTAAATTAGTGATGTACCATAAGGAAAACTGTTGTTTTAAATGATGCTTCTAAATTCCTAAGGTACCAATCTTGTCTTGTGTAGGCAAAAAAGGGTTTCCAAGTTTCCTCATTAGAGGTTTAGTTGACTAAAGTTGGTCCTTAATTTATATTCAAAGCCATCAATTGCTACAGGAAAAAAATAAGTTTTCATATTCAATAATGGGCCTTCCTTTTCTGTAATTATGAAGATTTTCAGACAATTTTTTTCATGTACCTCTGATGCACTTAACGTTAATTTTTAAAAATGTATTTAACATCGTGCAGGTTTTTCTCACAGCAGAATCACTGGACTTCCCAAACTTACTGCATTTTACCTAAATTATTTTTTAATCTAATTTTACAAGCAAATGAACCATGAAGTTGACAGAACTGTTGTCATAAGTTTATTTTTCATAATAAGTGTATAACAGATAAGGTCCGAAAATGGTGAAGGGCAGAGAAGAAACATCTAAAATCAAATGAAATGGCTGTATACGGCTTTACATTCCCGTCACTGATGGAGAAGCATTATTTACCCCCACAGGAAATGGATCCACCTTGAGACCACCACGTCAATTGAAATAAATTGGGAAAATTCTTCCAAAGAAACAGTATTGATGTCATTGCAAAAATAAGCCAGCAGGAAGACAGTTTAGAGAGGTTGGATTGCTTCCCTCTCTTCCAAATTGCATGTTTAAAATAAGCCTTTATTGATCTTTAAACATTTGTCAGATGAGTCATATTTTGGGTTATTTTTTTATACACATATATTCACAATATTCCAAATTGAAAGCAGTTTCCAATCACTCGAAAACTATTACACACTGTTGTCTAAAACAGATTAGAAAATTTATAACTGTAAAAGTAAAATACACATATTGATATTTGAAGTGCATACTTAAGAAAAAAACAAACGAGTATTACCTGGTTTCTCGTATATGAGAAACTCCAAATATAAATACAGATAATAGGAAAAAGGTAGATTTTTTTTTCCAACGGGAAAAGGACAAAAAATGGAGGGAGAAGGGAAGGAGGGTAAAGGGATACAGATAAAAAGAAAAAAAGATTTAAGGTGTATTACATGCATATATTCCTCTCTGGGAATGTAATCAGTATGTACGGTAAACGTGAACTAATAAAAAACTAAATGTATTTCTTGTGATCTCTTCTTATTCTTTTCTCCATTATGCCAAAAGGTTAGTATTGTAGTAGTCAGGGCTCAATCAAAAAAAAAAAAAAAGAAAGAAAGAAAGAAAGAAAAACAACAACAGTGATTTTGAAGAAAATTAAATAAAGGAAAATGGGCAAACAGCTATTGAAGAATAGAACAACTTAAGGGAGACATTGGCAATTCAAATTGCAAGAGGGTACATTCATGGATTTGAGGAGCAAATAGAAGAAGTTGGGAATACTTAGACCTTGAGGACTAGCCCAAGCACCATGAATCTGAGACTCAGATCTCTTAATGGGATTGCTAAATTGGTCTTGAAGTTTGGGATCCTGATATGAAGCTCAAAGAACTGGTACTCAGAGCTCTGAGAGCACCTCATCAGACAGCTATGCTGCTGTCTCTCAGGCTGACAACGAGGTTGTTCTGAAGTGAATTATTTTTTAAAAAGTGGTATATGGTGGATTAAAACTAAGTGTCACTGTTAACACAAAAGCTGCTTTTTAGGAAACATTGACATAAACAGGAAGAAAACAGATCTCATAGACCTCTAGGTTTATTCTCATTCTCATTTTGTAAAACCTATAAACTAACTATAAAGTAGCCTATAGAGAGGGCTAGGTACAGTGGACATATTTTCCCATAAAGTAGATACAAAAAGGAAAGAAGATTTAGAATTGACAGCAATAATTTAAAAACAGGTACACCACCTATGTACCATATATTTTCCAGGAAATAAAATGAAGCAAATTCAGGGGGAAAAATCTTAAAAATTATTTAAAATAATGAAGAACAAATAACATCAGAATAGGAATTTTTAATTAAGGCTTTTTTGGGAATGGAGTTTTTGGAATTGGTGTTGATGGCTTGGTTTCTCGTGTTGGCTCTGGGCACGCGAGCCAGGTCGACTTTGGGCGCTCGAGTCAGGTTGACTCTGCAAATACAAAGAGCCAGGTTGACTCTGTGACCTTTTCTCTTCTTTTGCAGGTTTAGTCTGAGTTTTTTCCTCTTCTTTCTTAGTTTTCTTCTTCTTAAGAAGGTAAAAAAGACAGAATAATAAAATAAGCAAAATAATAAGGAGCAATAAACACAGATAACAAAACTTCTCCTTCCTCTTTCTCTTAGGAGGTGGACCACTGTCAACACTGCCTCCGTATCCTTTTAACAAGCAGTTTGGAGGGTCCCACAGATAGTTGCAGTGACAGTGATGCTTATTATTGCAGATGCCCCTGGTGTTACAGAAGTCAGGTGAACAGTTACTATCTAGTCTGGATATATGAACACAATGCCTATCGATGCAGAGATGTTCTATATCACATTTTGTGCCGTCTTTGACATCACCGATATCGGGAATGTTCATCCCATGGTGATAGTCAGTACCCCAGCAGATTGTCTCATTGAAGCGAGTCCAGTGTACCGTGGTATGATCATTCAAATGTGGAAGTTCTGCTACGTTGTCACATTGAAGTCGTCCACACAGGATATCTGAGACATCACATTTTACATAACTAGCACCACTGATACCACAGTGGCCAAAACGAGTACCCTGAGAATTCACTTGTTTGTAGCAAATCTCATTTGCACTTCTTGCCTTGTGTCCAAAAATCTCCCTGCAACTTTTATTGTGTTCATGACATTCTCTTTTGTAGCAGTAGGCATTTTCATTACAGGGAATTCCATCTTCCACATATACATCATCTGGGCAATTATGGGAAGTACCATTGCACCACTCTGGAAGATCACATACATTGGCCTCTTTTCTACACACTTCCCCTGCTGGTGCAAACCTGCAGTCTTTACAACAAGACCCAAAGGCACAAGTAGACCCATAACTCAGAGTGCAGTTTGGCAAACAACATGGGTCTTTTGCACAAGCTTTTAAATATCCACAATCACACTCCTCTTCTTTTTCAACAATACCATTGCCACAGTATCTCCTATCAAATATATCCTTGTCATATAGATTTTCCAGCAAACATGGTGTCTGCCATGTAGTGAACTCCCAAAAAGAATTATAACTACAGTTGCTAAATTGAACTATTGGTGGGTTATCATTATGCATCAGACATTTACGCTGTGGACATGTACATGTCCATTCATCATGGTGCATGCCCAAATTATGACCTAAATGATGAGCTATGGCAATTGCAAGAAGCGTCAAACTTCTGTTGACCAAAGTAACAAGTGAACAATTACGTCGTGGTTTACATGCTCCTTTAACTGAGCCTAAGCCACTGAGTCCTCTTAATTCCCTGTAAATAAGAAGATATATGGTATCATGTTTTAGCCGAGGAAGTATATGATCAGCTTTCCAGTTGCAAAATATCTCCATAGATTTTCTTACATCATCTACTACCACAGGGTTTGGATTAGTCCAGAACTCCAAGCCACAAATTAATACCGTAATTCCCAAAATATCATAAATGGAGTCTGCCATATTCATTGTAATAAATATATCCTCCATCAACTTTGTTTCATTTTTTTTATAATGAAGGTACATATAATTGTCAACCACTACTGCAGTTTCAACAGTCTTATAATGGACCCACCAACTCCCATAAGGTCTTTGCTTGAGAGTGGAATTATTAATATCTTCAAATTCCATTTGGTATTCCATTTCATCTTGAACAATATCAGATGTTCTGGTTGAGGGTTGTGTCTCCTCTCTGTCCAACCTATATACCAAATGTTCAAATGTAGTAGAAAAATTTACAGGCATGATTTCATAAGCGATGTAATTTATCTGCAACATTCCATGAAAGCCTCCAAAACAAGTACTGAGAACAACTAAGGATTCTGGATCCCCTTCTACATAACCATGGTAATAGCAGTCGTTCTGAACAAAAGGGTAGTCTTCGAGCAGAGAGCCCTGGTCTGTGTAGGTGTACACTGGGAGGTGTTTGAATAGCAAACGTTTCTTGGCCTTTATATGGATAATGTGTTTCTGGCCACCAAAGCGCAGGCTGTAGGAAAGCCACCCTGGTAGCTTCATCCCTCTAGCTGTGCCAGGTACTTTCAATGGAGTCACCATCTCTGGAGTGCTGTGATACTGGTATCGTTCAGCTTGCATGAACGCAGGAAAAGACAGAATCACCCAGAACCACTGTGGCAGGAATAAGATCCTCATGAATAACAGGGCTTCATTCACAGTCATCATGAAGCTGCATCTACAAAAACATTATTTCAGACAAATCCGGTCTGGGACCCATAGGGTGGCTGCTTCTTGTAAGCTAGTGCATATGTAGTGCTAATCATTAAAGATCTGTCTTTGGGTAAAGTCGGATCATCACAGCTGTATTCCTGTAAGTAAAAGAAAAAAGGCAGCATATGGATGGAAGTGATGAAAGGACACAGTGGGGAGAAAGAAAAAGGCTCAGGATAAAAATGGTTTGTGCTTTGATCAAGGGATAACTCAAAGAAATTTCCTTTAATTTGCTCTTAACTGTTGTAAGGAAGAGGGGGCCAGAGAGTGCACAAAACGAAAATTGGCCATAAATTCATACTTACTGATATGAATGATAGGCAGATTAAATTAATTATACTATCCCTTAAATTATAAATATCCACAAACATTTCCATAATAATTATATCAAAATTGTTGTAAGGGTAAGTTGAATATACATCTTGGATTTTCCAGATAGTTCCAGCTTATTCTCATTAAAGTGGAATAAGTATTGATAACTTTACTTTTCAACCTCAGATAACAAATTATTGATAATATTAACTAGGATCTTATTTTTCTGTTATTTTAAAATTTCTTTTACATTGTCTAATATATACCTCCCTGTAGTGCGACGTGTGGCACAAGCTGATAATGAGCACAATCTTCCCAGTATGCTCAGTATGGGGGAGTATCCGTCCCTGTTATAGAATTACATCTTTCCTTCACTACTTTTAAATTTATTTGTTCTTATACTTTTGCCTCATCACATCTCAATGGATAAATATGTATCTTACAGTCAGAGCTTAAGAAACTTCAGTAATATTCATTCGATAATTCTACTGATAAGCAAGGTTTCTTCAGGTTAAGAAGTCTTATTTACTTATGAATAGCTGGCAGTGTTAGAAAAAAGGTTAAGCATTAAAGACCTGCTGGATTCAAATACAAGCATTTAAGACACACTATATATGCTGATAAAATTCTCATAGATTGCCTTTTTCTTTTATAAAATGGAAATAACAGTAATATCTACATATAGAGTGGTCTGGCAGTTACATAAAATGACCTCATTAATTACAGTAAGTAGGACAATGTATACCATATTTTATTAGTTGATAAATAATTGCTACTATTATGTCTAAGGCAGCAAACGTTTATATTATAAACAGCAAAGTTTATACTATTTGTAGATTCACAAAGTACTCTTTTATTTGCACTAAACTTCAAAATTTGTGAAGTACTTTTGAATGCTTACTTTGCACTGAACAGAAAATATTTTTTTAAAGAAAAAGATGTTGAGGAAAGTTGATTTTTATTAAAACATGCTTATTTGAATAAATGTTTCTATTGTGTAATCCTGTGTCCTTAGAAACATCTGTACCTTGTATTCCATTTCTATTTATTTTTCAACAAACTAGAAAAACAAAAAGTAACCACTATGAATTTATACTTATTTCCTAAGCCTTCCAAATTGGTGGTTGTCATCAATTTTCTAACTTTTTTAATATTTCTAGTTAACACCTCTGTTTTTCAGAAGCACAAACCTTTATAGAACAATCTGGGTAGCCATTTCCTATCTTATTTGCAATAGATACTTTTCCTAGAACCTTTCTTTTGACATAAGAATAAGAGGTATAAAAATTCATTAAAATCTCTTTCAGATTTAATCATGTAAAACAAATCTGTTAGAGAACATTTAAATTAGACAGTTCTAAAGAGAAAACTGCAAAATTTAAAATCTCTCCTTCTAATCTCATTGTGTTTCCTCTTTTCTTTAACAGAAGAGCCATTTAATTAAATCTATATTTCTAAGCCATGGTGGCATAACTATATATATTTTAGTAGTTTGTTTAAATAAACTTTGCATTTAGAACAGTTTAGATTTACATAAAAATGCAAATAAAATTACTATCATGGTTTTAACCAAGAATTCCCATAAAACTCTCATTTACTCTGAGGTGGGGCTTTTGCAAGGTTATTAGATCATTTGATCATTATGCTCATGAGTGGTTTAATCCACCAGTTAACTCAGCAACTCAGTGTGCTGTTAGGTCACACCCTGGAGGAGGGTATGACCAGGAAGGGTGCATTTCCCTCCCTGGATCTGGCCTTCATGCTCTGCTTCCTGTCAAGCATGATGGTCTGATTGCTGGCCACCATGACATGAGCACCTGTTCTTCACAGCAGGCCTTTCCAACGTGCCTCAGAGCCAGCTGAATATGGTCTCAAACCTCAAAAAAAGAGGTGAGTAAGCACCTCTTTTAATTTAAAAGAAAAGCACCTCCTTTAATTTGTGAGTGTTGGATATTGTGTCTCAGTGAGAAGGAACTGAATTACTAGGTGTGGGATCATTGTTATGACTGCCTGACCATGTAGTTCAGAAGCCTTTGGAACTGGTTTGTGCAAGGAGTTTTGAAAGGTTTCTCAATGCCAGCCTAGGATGCGAAACCCTAGAATGCTATAAATCAAGCTTGATGGGAGATTCTGGTGAAAACTCAAAAGAACAGAATACTCATCAAAAAGTCGATGGTAAAAGCCAGGCTCAGGGTGTTACACTTGAGAATAAGGAGTTCATGGGAAGTTGGGCTAGTGGTCTTCTGTATTACCTTCTGGCAGAAAAATCTGCCTACAATGTACAAAAGTCATGAAACTTCGTGGGATACTGAAATTTAGGACAACAGAATAATCTGGTAGAAGAAATTTCAAAACAGCCCAACATTCAGGCTATGGTATGGTACTGTTGGCAGTGTTAGTCAGATCTATGTTTAAAACCAGGAGCAAAATATCTATTTGCAGATTTTAAATTTTTCCAGAAAGGAAGCACCTGAAAAATTGGGGGCTGAGAGTTATTATTGCTAAAAATGTCAGCATTAAGAAGCCAACTTCTTTGTGGTGGAAAGCTGCTCACATCGTGGTGGCCAGGGAGCAGAGAGCAGAAGGAGGAGCTGGGAAAGAAGGTAAACCCTTCCAAGTCACAGCACTAATGACCAGCATCTTCCAACCAGAGTCCACTTCCAATAGTACATCAGCTCTAGTGCTACCATGACCCAGCCGGAGCTGGCCTTGAACTTGCAAGGATCATGTTGCTTCAGCCTTTTGAAAGTGGGAATTACAGGTGTATGTCCCTAAACCCTACCTAAGAACTTGCAAAATATCTGCACTATTGTGCTTCCGCCCACAATGATTAAGAGTTTCATTACTCTACATCCTTACCAAAAATTGACATTGTAATTTTTTTCCTTTTTAATTTGTTATTCTTAACAAATTCATAGTAATATCTCACTTGCTTCAATCTGCAATTTGTAAATGAGAAATTATGTTGCAAATATTTTCTTATGGTTGTCAACTTTGTATCTTTGTTCATGAAATATCCAGTCCTGTCTATCTTTAAACTAAAGTATTTGTATTCTTATTGTGGGAGTTTAAAGGTGATTTCCATACTTTGAATCAAGTTCTTTATCATTTACATCTTTTGTATATTTTTCCCAGCCTATAACTACCGTTTTAATTCTAATAATGTTATATTTTAAAGAGCATTTTTTAAAAATTTAATAAAGGCCAGTGTATTCCTTTTTCTCCTTTCATGGATTGTGCTTTTTCTACTGTATCTAAGAGCTCCCTAATAAATCACCTAAACATTCTCCTGTATGTTTTTCTGCAAGTTTTGTGGCTACAGGTTTTATATTTCAGTATATTACATTTTGAAGTTAACTTTTCTGGAAGTTACATTTTGGGACTTTGGATTTCCAATATTTCCAGAAGTAGTTGTTTAAAAATTGATTCATTTGCCATTGAATTAGACGTGCTTCGTTTGCAAAGATTGGTAGATTGTGTACATCCATTTCAATTCTTTATATTGTCCTCTTTAGTGCTATCTATTCTGTTCCAATGCCATTCTATCTTGTTTAGTATAATTTTGTAATGACATCTGTAAAGAGGTATTATGAACCCACCAAAACTGTTGCTCTTCAAAATTATCTAGACTAGTATAGGTCTTTGAACTTCCCTTAAAGACTTAGAAACTTTTTATCATATCTGCAAAATAGCTTGCTAAATTTTTTTATTGTGATTGTGTTGATTCTATGGGTCAATTTCAGGGAATTAACATTTTAACAGTATTTAGTTTCCAATCAATAGATGTAGACTGTCTTTTGATTTTAACATTAAATGATTTATTTCATATATGTTTGGTAGTTTTCCACACACAAATCATCTACGTAATTTGTTGTGTTCAATCCTAGGTTTTTAAGCTATTGGAAAATGTGTTAAATTTCCTAATGTCAAGTAATTTTGCAGCTATTTTTCTATTATTTGGTTTCTTGTCTAATTCTTTAATGGTATAAACACACACTTTCTATGTATATTTCTGATCCTTTTAGTTTATTAGGCTGTGTTTATGACACTAAATGTGGTCTAGCTTAATGAACATCTTATGTGAGCTTGAGGAAAATGTGTATTCAGTGTCTGTTGGATGGAATGCTCTAAAAATTTAAGTTAAATCCAGTTGATTACTAATACTATTCAAGTCTACTCCTTATGGACTTTACTGAAATTTTGTCTGCTGAATCTATCACTTGAAAAAATTAAATTTTCTAAATATAATAGTGATTGTGTCTTTCCTTGTGGATTTCTCCCAGTTTTTTACTTTGCTATGTTGACACTATTGTGGTACATGCATATGAAAGACTATTATATTTTCTAAGATAATTGATTTTTTCTCATTATAAAATGTCTTCCTTTATCCTTGAGAAAATTCCTCTTTCTGAATTCTGCTTTGTCCACACTAACAATCTTTTGAGTGTTTAAATTGGTTATTATTGTTATAATTGGATCAATATCTTTCATATTTATCCCTATTTTCTAGTCATTACCAAGTTTTAATTTTGGATTCCTTCTTTTGCCTTCTCTAATTAAGCATTTCATATGACTGTTCTTCTCCCTCTCAAGACATTGCTTATAATACTTGGATAATTTTTTGAAATTTTGTCGTATCATTGTACTACATATTTATAACTAAGCTATTTTCACGTGCAAATAATGCTAAGACCATTTCAGATGCAGTACAAGTACTTTGAAGTAGTATTCCCAGTTTGTCCTTCCTGTAACTCAGACATTACTGTCATTCATTTATTTGGCTTATCCATGTGCTAACAGGCATCCAATACCTATTAAACAGCTAATTTTTACAGAAACACAAGAAACATCTTTCTTGTTTTTGTAGATCCAAGTTTCTGATTATATAATTTTTATTCTCTCCAAATAAATTTCAAGTTTTCTTCTGGAACATATTTGTTGATGATGAAATCTTAAGCTGAGAAGTAGAAATAGCAAGAAAGCTTTTGTTTTATTTCCTATTTGAGGGATAATTTCAAGGGATTTAGCATTCTAAATTGGTATATGTTTTCCTCCTAACATTTTCAGTAGTTCCACTGTCTTCTCTCTGTCATGTTTCTGATAACATATCCACTGTAATTTTATTCTTGTTCCTCCAAACACACAGTGTTTTCTACTATGGATTTGCTAAGCTTTTTCTCTTTGATTTGATTTTTTTGATTTTCTTGTTGAAATCTAGTATGTAATAATTTGTAAGGTTTTTAAGTGTTGGAGACAGAGATAGAGTCTGCCATGGCATTTTTTTTTTCAGCTTTAATTGAGTTTGTTGGTACATTTTAGGGATACAGTACAGTTACATACACACAGTGTTTTCTACTATGGATTTGCTAAGCTTTTTCTCTTTGATTTGATTTTTTTGATTTTCTTGTTGAAATCTAGTATGTAATAATTTGTAAGGTTTTTAAGTGTTGGAGACAGAGATAGAGTCTGCCATGGCATTTTTTTTTTCAGCTTTAATTGAGTTTGTTGGTACATTTTAGGGATACAGTACAGTTACATTCATTGCTGGGATCTTGTACCTCTCCATGACAAGTCATTTATTACCATGGCATTTTTAGGATTTAAGCTACTCTTAATTGCATCTAGCTGTTGCCATCAATACTGTTAAAAGACATTTTGGTTTTCTAAACCCGAGGCCCTAATTGTGAACTCTCTAAGTGTCCCCAACAAAACCTAAGTGTGATGCTATTAATACTCATATGTTAGTCCTTTACTTGATTTTCATACATGATCTGAATGTCTTTATATTTAAAAAACTGAAAAAAAATTCTGATACCTATTTTCCCTTTTATCAAACTAAATCTGCACTTATTAAAATATAATAAACAAATTTAATAGTTTGAAATCAGTGAAATTAATCCAAAGGGGTCTAATCTTCAATCTCATTGCTATAGTATTTGGCTGCTCAATGTACCCATTTATTTCTCTTTTTGTTGTATATTTGGGACTCTGAATAAATTGATTATTTCTGAGTGAAAATTTCCCTGAAATCTCTAAACTCTAGAGCTATAGCTTAGATCATTTAAGTATTAACTACATACAAAGGTACACACAAGAATTTTGTCTTTTTAGAATAATTTTTGCCTCTGCAGCGAGATCATATACAAGTGATCGGTTAAAATCTGTTACATTATGTCCTCCTGATACTTCCAGGTTTCATTCTTGGAAATATTCTACAAACAAAGAAGATTAAATCTGGATTTCTAGTTATGTTTGAATAAATTAGGATATTTTAATAAATCTATTGTATATTTAAGAGGCTTGATACAGCCATGAACTTCCTTCTCCTAATGGAAATAAAGTAAAATGATTTAATGTTTTACAATGATGAAATGAAATATAGGAAGTATAAAGTAGTAAAATTTCAAAAAGTAAGTCTCCTTCGCTCAGAAATGTTACATATTTTCAGTGGGCAGCAGGGATTGGCAAAGTAAGATATCATTAATTTTAGGGAAGACCATAAAATCATGTTTATAGGAACCTCCACCAAGGTGGTAACTGCTGTTGTTGGCTTTAGATGAGTAGAATTTTGAAAGTGGATCAAAAGAAAAGTATTTACATGATATTAGCTTGTGATGATTCCATAAAGGTGAGTCAGAATACACATTTGACTTGTTCAAATGTATTATGTGTGATAGTCAACAAGATTTATGAGTGGGTAGCCCATAATGTAAATTTGTTGAAGAGCTAATTTTTAAAGCACAAAATGCCGACATTTTTAAGTTCCCAAGAGAAAGATTTGGGAAACAAAGGCTTGGTTAATTGTTACACTATTGTGTCAATTTCTGGAATTGATGTGGTAAATAAACAGAATGCTAAAAGAGCCATCAAAATTCCTTAACATACCTGTACCTACCTTTAAACAATCTTTTTCCTCATATGTAGTCAGAATATATAAATATGATAAGTATCACTCCAGTGATTATCTTACATGACAAAGGTGTAATTTTTTAGATAACGTGGGGTACCTAACTAGTTGACTTTAAATGATCTAAGGGACATTATTTTGGATGGGATGGACTTAAACAGGTAAAAGCCATAAACACAATATTTCCATAGGAAGTAATATTTCAAAGGGAAACAAAAAGTCATGGGAAAAACTTCCTGTACAAAGAGGACGTTGAAGACCACAATGCTACAGCTACAACAAGCTAAATTCTATTCACAAATTTGATGCACTTGCTGTCAGATTTCAAGCTCCAGAAAAGAACTGCCGAGTGCCATCCTGCTTTCACCTGGGAGACCGAATATAATATAATGAATGCATATTGTTTTAAACACAAGATTGGGCTCATTTATTGTGCAGCGATAGAAAATTAATATATTTAGGAGCACATTGTCTGCTATAACCAGTGATATCCAAGGAATTGCTTTTAAGATCTCTTTGGTTATTAACCAGGGAAAATTCTGTGTGGTTTTATTCTTGCAAAAGTAAGAAGTTTACCTCTGTGAGATGACTTGTGATGGAAATAAAACAATACGATAAAATTTCAACCTCTTTTCAGAAAGCTTATAGCCAAACAAAAATAAAATAAGTAGATAAAGTAATTCAGTCCTAAAGCACAGCAAAAGTACAAGTACAATAAAGCATGTTCTATATTAAATAGTAGGGTATATGGAAGTTTATGGTCTTTGAAATACCAGTCAAGAACTTTTAGAAATCAGGTGTGATATTAAATCCTATGATCATAATAACTAGTGTGTAATTTTAATTTTCTCAGGATAAATCAAATTAACTTTTGAATTACAAAGATGCTAAAAAAAAGAGATGTATAGCTACAAAATATGCAGTTTATTTACCCACCAAAGATAAAAGAATATTTGAATTTGGTAGTACAAAGAACTAGGAAATCACTATTAGATTTATATCCCTGAAATTCTGGTCCATTATATGTATTTTTTGCCTTTTGGATTCTTAAAGCATATTGACTTAGAGCATAGAAGATAAAAATATTACAAAGAATAGTTAGATTTTCTTACGTTGATTTTACTGCTGCTCTGATATTAGAGTGTACAGTGTAAATGTAGGAAGTATTTTGCAGGACCTAGTCTGCAAAGAGTAACACTAACACAAATGATATTGAAAAATCAATAGTATGTATGCCCACAAAGATGGCTACATTTTGACCTTCAATTTGTGTTGAGTATGGTAAGTATTGTTAAATTAGATATGACCTGCTTTTGATGAAAGGTATCCTCAGGAATGTCCAGACCATCAGGAGAGTATTTTACAGTAAATCCCTGTACCACCACATTTGCTTGTGTGATGTCATAAAGGAGGACAGACTGTTTCTCAGTTAGGGGTCTGAGGGCAACAGTTACAGGTGGGACAACCACACTACTGCAGGGTTATCAGAGGCTCCTGGAACATGACGTTTGTTACATTTCAGGGAAAAATTAAGTAAAAGTGAGGATATACACAGATACCATGGGGCCCACACAGTAAAACTTTGTACAGTTTTTATTTAATATTTAGAGAAATTTTGCCCTATACAAAAAGGACATTGGACATGACTCCATTAATTATCTTGTTTTGGCTTTTATTTCATAGCTAAAACAGTGCATCACCATGTCTGGTTCAGCCGTGGATCATTGTACTGATTCATGAATGAATGTGCTGTGCTGTTGGGAGCCTAGGACCCATTTGGAGAGGGTGGATCACTGGGGCTGTGCCTTTTGGGGGTATACCTTTTGCTTGTACTCTTACCCCGTTCTTTACAGCCTAAAGATACAAAGGTATTGATTTTATAACTTGGATTATAATTCAGTACTATTATTTATTTTGTTATATAAATTGGTCTAGAGCTACTCTTAGGAGTTCTTTCTCATTTCATGCTAATTCTTGAAACATTTTTACAGGCCTTATCTATTTTTTTTAATTAAAGAGCATTTTCTTACTCTGTAGCACTACAAGATGCCCTGGAATTATTTGTTTTCCCTGCACCAGCACAAGAATTAGTCATTTCTAGGAAAGCCTTAGTTCCTTCTGTTGGAGAATATTGTCTAGAATCTAAATATAAAAAAGCAATGATGCTAATTGCTACAAAGTTATCACTGTTTATTCTTCCAATAAACATAGAAAGGTATATGCACATGGAGTCACATGTCTATATTTCTCTATCCATCTACATATATGTATGTTAAACATACATGTACTCTATCACAGCTCTAATCTCTCAAAGATTCACTAAAGGCTCTCTCACGTGCTTACTCTGTAACATTTTTCTGATAGTAAAAATGATGTTCCCTCAAATACATTGCAGGTTATAAATAATCTACCTTTTATTTACTTAATTGTATAATTCTAGTGATTGCAAAGTAGTCTCAGAATTTGTCAATAGACTCCTTTGAGATTAGAATTAACAACTATAATACAGATTTTATATAGAGATATTCCTGTTTTAATTTTATATTATCCAATTAAAATACTACTTTCCACAGTTATGTATGGAAAACATTTTCAACACTCTTCAGTGATTTGCTACACCTTACTAACACAGTTAAACTCATTTTCAGTTTCTAGTTTGAAGGTTTCTATAAACATTTATATGCCGCTTTTGTGTAAGATTTTATATTTTCACATGAGTTGAAAATAAATAGGGTATTATTGTTTTTCATGATATGTATGTGCTTAATTTTATAAGAAATTATCAGTTTTCCAAAGAGGAGGTACCATTTTTGCATTTTCATCAATGATGAAAGAGTTCCTGTTTCATATATCCTTACTAGATTTTGGTATTTTCAATTTTTGTTTTGTTTTTGTTTTTGCCTGTCAGACAGGTATGCAGAGCTATCACAATATGCTTTTTTTTTCAGCTTTAATTGAGTTTATTGGTACATTTTAGGGATACAGTACAGTTGCATTCATTGTTGGGATCTTGTACCTCCACATGACAAGTCTTGATTCTCATTTTTTCCCCTTACCCCTGCCCTCCCTTCACCCCCTCCTCCCGTCCCCATCTACAAACACTTTATTTCCATCTTTTCATTCTCTCACATTTTTTTCTTTTCCCTTTTTACTCTTCCCCTACCCATCCCACCTTCCCTACACCTTTAGCTCCTTTCTTCCCATTTTGAAATGTCAGTAATCTTATTAGGATCTTATGTATTATTGCAGATTATTCACACCAGATCAATATGCTTTCAATTGTCATCTAACGTTTTCTTTCCTGAAATGTTTGAGTACATCTCTACCAATCTTATAGTTAGGTAGTTTGTTTCCTTATGATTGTTAACTGTTCTATGTATTTCTGGATAAAAATTTGTTATCTGAAAAATAATTTTCACCTATTTTCTACTGGATTGTGGTGCTGGTTTTCTTTTTGAGTATCTTTTGAAAACCAAAATGTCATAAAATTTATAAATCCAGTTTGTCAAATGCATGTTTTGTGTCATATGGTTTTACTATTTTATCTAAATATTCATCATCATATTCAAAGTCATGTTTTTCTCCTTCTAGAAATGTTATAATTTTATGTTTTTCAGTTTGTTCTATAATCCATTTCAAGTTAATTTTTATTATGTATGAAGTATCTGCCAAGGTTTGTTTGTTCCTTAATTATTTATATGCAGCCCAACTGTTCCAGTGCTAGTTCTTAAGAATAATTTTCCTTTTCTATTAAATTGTTTTGAATATTTATCAATAGTCAGCTGAGCTTGTGAATCTGTTTCTAAGTTCTTTATTTTGTTTCACTGACTTATGTACCTGTCTTTTTGTTTATACCACAGATTTGAATAGTGTATGCAATCTAATAGTTTTTACTTCCCTTCTGTATTTTTTCTTTCTCAAAGTGGTTTGGCTGGTCTATTTACTTTGTCTTTCCACACAAATTTGAGAATCAAATTTTCAAGTTTTTTTTTAAATTGATTGATAATTTTATTGGATTAGTTTGAATCTACATAACAATTTTTTTGGTTTTGTTTGTTTGTTTGTTTTTGTTTTTGGTACCAGTGATTGAACTCGGGCCCTTGCGCTTGCAAGGCAGGCCACCGAACAGCTGAGTTAAATCCCTGGCTACATAATAATTTGTTTAAAACTGACACGTCAAATATTAATTGTTTCAAAGTGGAATAAGTCTTATGTATCTCTCCATTTATTTAGATTAAATTTATTTTGTTTTTAGCATTCAGATTGTGCACATATTTTGTTGTACTTTTACCAAAGAATGTAATGCATAATGCTATTATAAATTATTCCCTCTTCTATCTCTGGTTATCTTGAGATTTTCTCTTTGTTTTGCATTTTTTTCACTAATTTATTTTCTTCCCTTAAGAAAAATAAAACAAAATTTTATAACAAAATAAGAGGGTGACAATAACTAATGTACTCTGTGTCATTATCTTCAAAGTAGTTATGTAGAGTGCAAGACATCGACAATAAAAGAAGAAACAGGTATTAGCGCAAAACTTTCTGTTCAATTATTTGGGAGAAACTTGTAGCATAAATTAAACAAATTAGCACATATATTAAAATATCTTTTTAAAAAATAGAATAGTTGACTTGGGAACCATCTGAACATCTCCCCACCTTGCTATTAATCTATCTTCCACTATGCTCATTTAAATGTATGTAGTTTGAGTTTCTCATATTAGAGAAACCATTTGATATTTTAGCTCTTGTCTCTGACGTTTCACTGTGTGGGGCTGGAGTAAGTGCATACATAGTATAATGGAAGAATCCAGCAATTAGCATATTTGTTTACTCAAGTATTTATCATATTTTTACAGTAATAACATTGAAAATGCTATTTTGAAAAGCCATCCATTATTGTTGATTGTAGTTTGCCAACTGTGTCATAAACACCAGAACTTATTTTTAACCAGAAACCAGAACACTCTGTGTAACTTTACTCATTAGTATCCTCTCCCCAAGTGGCCCCTTCCCTTTGTCTTCCCTAGCTAGTGTAACAATTCTTCTATTCTACTTTTATGATGTCAGAGTTTTTAAAGTTCACATATGAATGAGAATATAAAGTATTTGTGTTTGTTTCCTGCCTTATTTCATTTACCATGTCTTTCAGAATCACCCATGTTGTTGCAAATGACTGGAATTTGTTTTCCTTATGGTTGAACAATATTTCTTTGTGTCCTTAGACCACAGTTTTAATACATTCACAGGTTGCTAGGCAATCAGGCTGAACCTGGAGTTTTAATACTGAGCAACCTCTCCAACCCTTTCTAAATTAAATTATCTTTTCAATTTGAGATAGGGTCTTGCTAACTCATTAAGTCACCCATGCTGGACTGGAAGTTGTGATCCTCCTGTTTCATCCTCCTATAGTGTGATTCCATATCTTGGCTATTGAGAATAATGCTGCAATGAGCATAGGAGTGCAGATCTGTCTCTTTTACAATTTTGTTCATACACGCTTGCGGTCTCTAACGATTACATTCATTGTGGGGAGGTGGTGTATGCGCACATCTCGATATTTTTCCATCCCCTTCTCCTCCTGTGCTTCCTCCCATCTTCCATTTCTTGGTTCCCTTTTTTTTCTTTTTATTGAGTTTATTGGTACAATCTAGGTACACAGTACAGTTACATTCATTATTGGGATCCTGTACCTTTACATGACAGGTCTTGATTCTCATTTTTTCCCCTTGACCCTCCCCTCCCTTCACCACCTCCTCCCCTCCCTATTTACAAACACTTTATTTCCATTTTTTATTTTCTCATACTTTTCCTCTCCCTTATTACCTTCCCCCCACCCTTCCCACTTTCCCTAACCTTTAGCCCTTTACTTCCTATTTCACATTATTAATTAGGTGCCCTTTTAATTTTGCAAATGATCTATTTCTCTGATTGATTTTGTTTTCTGTGGTTCTATATCAAGTCTGAGGGTGTTGGATCATACGGCAGTTGCAATTTTAATTTTGTAGAATCCTGCATACAGTGACGTACTAATTTACCTGTCCAGCAACAGTATGTTTCCCTTTCTCAGCTTCCTTGACAGCATTTGCTACCTTTTGTCTTTTTCATTGCAGCCATTCTGAGAAGTGATGTTTCCTTGTGATTTTGATTTATATTTCCTTGATGATTAGTGATGAGTTTTTTTCTTATACCTGTCGACCCATTTTATTTCGTCTTTTGAGAGGTGTCCGTTCAGTTCTTTTATCTTTTTTTTCAATCAGTTTATGTTTTTGCTGTTGAATCCAGTTCCTTTATATTCTGACTATTAACTCCATATCAGATGCATAGTTTGGAGATATCTTTTTCCCGTGGTGTTATGGTTCGTGTCTAGTTGTCGTCCCCCCCC